TGGCATCCTCCAGACCGATGATGTCCTCCCATCGCACATTGGGGCTGTGCAAATAGATGTCCTTTGGAAAAACATACACACACACACAACAGAGAGTGAGTGATGCATGTGGAAGACATAAGCCAGAAATTTGCCCCCCACACACGTCCTGGTTGTGTAAATAGGTGTCTTTTAGAATGAAACATCAGATATGGGAAGTGGATAGAGCCTGGGCCTTCATTAGTACAAAAGATCAATTCATTCAAAACAAAGCCCTCTGCTGCTCTGTAGTGGACACATTCAGCAAGAGTCATATGGAGGATTTTCATATTTTTACATCATATTCCAAAGAACAAATTAAGATAAAATCAGCTTCTCCCCAGGCTTGTTTATTAAGGTGTGTGTGTGTGTGTGTGTGTGTGTGTGTGTGTGTGTGTGTGTGTACATGTGTGTGATCTGATAAAGCTAACAGTGGTATAGTAATGGTGTGTCAGTGATAGTAAAAAAAAAGAATTCTGGCATTGTGGAAAGTTATTCATTTATATTATATTATTTATAAAGTTGTTTACCCTGCTGATGATCGTAGCTAGTTCCCTCATCTCACCACTCATTCCAGAAAAGCCACTCAGTGGCTTCAGTAGGCGTTCCTGCAACATAGACTTTTTATTATTATCAGTAGACATTTTATACTTTTTGTAGCCTTCAAATAGTTTTTATTTTGGACAATTCAGACTGTTACCAAAATATATTTTTACACGTTTCACAGTTGTTTGAAGCTTGTCTGAATATTATGACCTTTTTTATAACTCAGTTCAGCTCAAAGGCTCCAGCATAATTACCATATGGTCTGAATCAATCCCAGCTACTCTGACAGCATCCTGGATTGCACCTTTGGCATCAGTCATCTGCCCCCAAGATACATAAGAGAACATAATAGGAACAAAAGTGACAGCGGTAATTTTGTTTTAAAAAGGGTGAGGACTTCTTTTTTATGTTTTTGCATTTGGCACGGTCAAATCAACCCCAGAACATAAAGCTGCTGGTTAATGTTGTTATGAATTGAACATAAACAATTTTGTTAGCATCCTGCTGCAGCATCATCGTAAAATGAAAACCGTCTCATAAATGTCATACTAGAAAAAAATGTGATTAACTTCAGTTGGGACAATCAGGTTTGCTTCTGTTCTCAGAGTATTCACTTCTCCAGTACCTTCCTGTTTGTGGCACACTCTCCAGCTGGTCCATTTTTGATGGAGGATACGCTGAGACCAAAGTCCGATGACTGTGGAGCAAGATAGGTCCCATTCTCCTAAGAAATTAACATAAATGTCAGAATAATTTCTAGCTAGAGTACAGAGTTGTTTTGATTTGACTTCATTTTTCCACATTTGCTCGTACACTAGTGGCTGGCTTCTTTGCTCCAGTTCCTGTGTTTGTGTTCCGGGAAGGGTTGATTTCTGGGAGAGGTTTCACAGCTGAACGGGGACTCCTGGGGACAAATAAAAAACAAAACACATGTATTTTTTGTTTTTTTAACTGTCATGCATGGACTAGCAGCATGGCAGACTCACTATTATTGTTATATATTCAGGTGGGAATCACCAGACACACCCATGATACAATATTATCACAATACTTCACTCATAATTATTATTGTGATTTTTAACATTTTGTGACATGCTGAGTTTTGCAATAACATATTTGCAATTTATCACCCATTTCAACTACAAATTATCTCCTCAAAGTGCAACTTGTCAATATCTGTTTTATGCAATAAGTTTTTTGTTTTTGCTGCCCTAAATGTCGCCATAAGACAGTGTCTGTGTTGCTTTATCGATACAATATTGCCACAGAAAATACTAAGATTTGATGTTGTATCGATTTTTCCCCACCTCTACTGTGAGCATGTATGCACAGCATACTTGGCCCGTGACTGACTCACCTCTTAGTTGCACTACGTGTTGGATATTTTCTTTCACCTGGACGGAAAAAAATATCAGAAAAAAACATGCTAAGACTATAAGTTAGTTTTTAATCATTTTACAGAACATGAGATATAATTTTCATTGCTTCTCAGTGTTTCAGCAGAGTTCTTGTACCTGCTTCTGCTATTCTTCTGATAAGTTTGGGATACTTCTGGAATTTGACGTAGTGGTAGCTCTCATACTCCATCAACACCATCTCCAGATCGATGTTATCGCTAACCTCGAACCTCCTCACACCTCCATTTGTCTCTTGATCCAAGGCCACTGCTGCAGCTACATAGCTGGTGGACAGACACATTGCAAGGAACAGATTTTTGATGTGCTTGTCTTGATGAATTGCACTTCACTTTTTCTATACAGACATACAAATATGACCTTTTGGTTGGTTTGTTACCACTTATCCAATAATAAACCAGCAATGCCATTTTGCATCATGCCATTCTGTTCTGAAGTAACAAAGAGTGAATTTATGTATTCTACCTGCTCTGATCAAAGAAACTCAGCCACTTGTTTTAAAAGTCCGTATCTAAACCTGATGCTAAAAACGTACTTAAAAGAAAAGTTCATCTTTTTGATCACCACTTGGTGCATCCACACACACACAATTTTATACTGACCCTTGCCCCAGCAGGTGGTGATAGATGAGGATGAGGAGACTTTTCTTCCTCATCTCAGTCCTCTGCTCATCCTGTTGGAGAGCAACAAGAACAGCAGCAACAAGAGGACAAAAGGGGAATTTAAATGGAGCTGTTATATGAGAAATAACTACCAAATAATATTGTTCAATTTGTCACAGGTGTCATGAAGAACAGATATGGTCAAATAAAGACCAATACAGTCCCCCCAAAAGCAACATATTTTAGAAGAATATTCAGATTTTTTTAACAGAAGGATATGAAGTGTCACAACTTATGGATAAACAAAACTTTAAAGTGAATCACTGAAATGCAAAGAAATTAGCCACTCCATATACAGGTTATAGCAAGATATAACATTTTACAGTATTATTTTAGGCCATGATGCTATGCATAATAGCAAAAGCATTACACAAGCGAGCCACAGCACTCAACAAATACTGGTTGGAACTCCATTCATTCATCCTTTTACTTCGCCTTATCCAATTCAGGGTCACCATTAGGCTGGAGTCTGTACCAGCTGTCATATAGCGGGAGGCATGGTACACCGTGGACATGCTGCCAACCTAACGCAGGGCTAACACATTCCTATCTTATGATCAAGTTAAGAGTCATTGATTAAACTAATGTCCATGTGTTTGAATTGTGGGAGGAAGCCAGAGTAGCTGAAGAGAACCCACACAGACATGAGGAGAACATCCAAACTCCACACAGAGACACTCCAGCTGGCCTGTGGATAGACCTCTTTGGGAGGCAAAACTCTTTACCACTGTGCTACCCACAGGTTTTAACTGTATGCCTAATTTCAGTAAATATGGAAGTCTCAAGAACTGTACTTCTTTAAGCTTGTGAAAAATCCCACTATTGGTTAAATACCTTGCACCCTCCACCTGTTGTTTTTAGAACTTAAGAAACCTCTCAGGTGAAAGATGAAAAACATCATCAAACTCAAAGAAGTCCAACTGCTTGTTTTTTTTTTTACAAGTTCCTAAAGACTGCCATGACCTGGATGACTAAGAACCTGCACAGACAATAAAGATGGAAATGACACTCCCTAGTATTTATTTATGTCTGTGGTCTAACTAAAAGTAGCCACTAATTATCAACTAACGAGTTAGCCTGTGCTCGTTAATGCTTCAGTTCTCTTCTCTTCCCTGGTTCAAACATGTGGAGGAGGAATATTTTATATTGGGCTGGAAATACAGGGAAAACACAGTTGCCAGCAGAGGGGGCCAGCCAACCACAAACAAAAACCAGTTGACGCTGTCTCTAGGCAACCAGTGGACGCAGCCGCTTTATTGTCGCACAGTGCATGCAGAACTTAACGATTAGCTCGACGGCTAACTACCACGCTCGTGAAAGCGACAATATAGAAATCCCATCACATGTGTAAAATAAATCGACCAACACCTGGATACGTATGCCTTTAGCTTAACACTGCTTACAGTACCAGACAGTTCAGTGCCCATCTGTTCACTGCCACTGCTAGTTAGATAGCCACAAGCTGATATCTGAAAACAGTTGTGCGTCAAATTTGCGTAAAACAACAAGAAACAAAAGCCCGTGTTCACTCACCGCCTCTCGGGCCTGGTGGGCGACTTTCATTGACTGATAATTGAGCTCCATTACTGTTGTAAAATTTCGTAAGGTCGGTATTATTCGTTAGGTGATGGTGAAGTTGGTCCACCGCGTAGTTCTGTCGGGTCTTACGTTCCCCTCGGGGCTACCGTACTTAAGAGTATGCCTCTTCTGTGAAGCAGCAACGGTGGTAAAGAAAAGCATCACCTATGCTTACTTTTAGATTTAGAAAAATCTCAATGACAAAATATCTCATTGACTTAAAGTTTTGCAAAAATGAGATGTTAAAAGCTCTTTAAAAGCTAGAATGCTAAAGTTTTTTTTTGTTTTATTTTATTATTGTTAGGTTTCACTAAACCACAATATCTTAACTGCCTATATTGCACTTTTGTACTCAATCACAAATGTTTTCCAAGTTTGACATGTAGCCTACTACCTTTTACTGTAGAGCACACATTTGATTTCTTTTCAGGTTGAAACTGATCAGTTGATGTATGTCATCCTGATTATCTCCACTAGAGAGCAGAAGCGATCTATATAACATGCAAGTCACAGCAGTACTATCAAAGGACACCATTTTAAGCTACTTAAATTTATCAGAATGTGTGTGAGTGTTTTGTAAATGTGAATATGGGTGATGAATAGATCCGGTTTGGCTGTATGGTTTTTGAGGGCATGTTTGTGTCCATCCTTAGTAACTATTGTGCTCTAACTCTTTGTGTGCATGTGTGTCTCCAGGGGCAGACATACACACAGAGACATCTATTTGCACAACTCCAGCTACCAGTGGGAGGACATAAACACCCTGGAATAAGCCAAACAATTAGTCAAAGAGAGCGTTGTCTATCTCATTAGGTGCAGCTCCTGCTCAATCACGCTGGTATTTCAGCACTGGTTGCCCAGCTTCGATTCTGAATAAATCTCCCCCAAAGAGCTTAAAGAGCAAAACGGTAATGAGGTCAAGCCAGTCTGCTAGGCTGACATTAAACCTATATTTAAGATAACATGGTAACACACACACAATAGACTAGCAGGAATAAGGGAATATTAAAGTATATGCATTTGTTGAAAACTTTAATAGGTACACCTGTTCAGTTGATTGGTAGTGCAATTATCTAATCAGACAATGACATGTCAGTAGCTCATGGCATCTAGGCATGTAGATGCCATCAAGATGACATGTCAAGGTCACGAGCAGATGGTAGTCAGAATTTGCAATAAACAACATGAAAGGGTGCTGGTGGTGTAAAGTTGTGTGGGATATTTTCTTGGCACAATTTGGACACTTCAGTACCAACTGAGCGTTGTTGATGCCCATGTCCATCCCTTTGTGAGTACAGTGTACCCATCTTCTAATGGCTGCTTCCAACAGGATAGCACACCATGTCACAAAGCAGCACAGATAAAAAATTTTCTTGAACATAACAATCAGTTCACTTTACTAAAATGGACTCTACAGTCACAAGTCTCAATCCAGTAGAGCACCTTTTGGGATATACTGTGATGGGAGGTTTGTATCACAGATGTGCACGTAATACATTTGAAGCAACTGTGTGATGCTCTAATGCCAATATTGACCAAAATCACTGAGGAATACTTCAGAAGGCAAAAGGGGGTTCAACCCAGTACTAGCAAGAAGTACCTAATTGTCTAATGAGTGTACAATATATACAGTATATATAAATAGGTGAACAAGCAACAGCAAGGATATTCTACAGCTTTAAGCAAATGTACAACACAAATGTCTATCACATGTGGTCGCAAATTTTGAAGCCATCCTGATAACCTTCTCCCACCAACGATGTGGAGATCCAACCTCTTTTAGATCCAATTAAAACCAAGACACTCAAAAAGATGCTCTGGAAAAGAGTAGAATTCTTGGAACAGAGTTTAATACACTGAATCATATGAACAGCAGGAAAAATACATACAGACACTTAGCAAGAGAATTACAAAGCAGAAAACAAGCAAAGCAAAACCCCGGGGTGTACAGCCTTAAGCACAGACAGCAGAGCAACACAGAGGCAGACAGAGAGAAAGAGTAGAGGGGAAAAAGTGCTGGGGTGTCCTCTGGTCCCCTGATATATAGGGACCAGTATCCCCGCCCCCTGCTGCTGGGTAACTTTCCCACCCGTCCAAACACAGCTGCAGGGTTCAGGTAGTGGCCAAGGTCTTGGCCAGAGGCCAGTCAGGACTCCAGCTACCCTTTGGCGTTGGCTTATCACAATAGGTCATGACACGGTCAAACATCACACATTAATCCTAATGATTAAATCTTACACCGCAAGTGGAAAAAACACTTCAGTGTAGGTTCATAGTGTGTGTATGTGTGTGTGGGATTATATCGTATGATGTTTTAATTGTGATGTGTTCAGGATCTCTGTTACAATGTTACTCTTTTGGTTGTGCTGCATGAAAGACTTTGAGTGTGTATTAGGGAAGGTTAGTTACCAGAGCTGGAGAGTGAGTTATTCAGGCAAACTCTCAACAGCATTAACTGCCCTGTTACTGTAAAACCTTAATAAACCTCGGTGAAGCAAAATGTCTTGTGCTTAAGACTCTACATGAAAGTTAAAATATGTATGTTCAGTGCATATATATATATATATATATATATATAGTGTATATAGTTACCTAGTTATACATATCACAAAAAAATCCACCACACACCTCTGTGTATATGAAACACAACCAGGTTGCCTGAGACATTTACAGACAGAGATGAGGACTGATATGTTTGTCTGCTCATCTGATGACCAGATTTATTAAATACCATCTGACCATAGAGTATTTATAATAAAGGATTTGGAGTGTCAAGCTTGAGATTTCACTCATCTTGTGTAAATGTCATTTCACAATTCTATTATGAATAAGGCAGCCAAGATTGACAGCTACTGTTTATATTCCAGTCGTCCTCTCATTGCCTTGATTAAATACACAGTATAGACAGAAATAAGCAAAACACATTTCTATTAAGTTCAAAGACATTTATTTCTTTTGGCACTGTCAGTTTCATTCTTAACCCCGAGTAAATTGCACATCTGGTACAGTATTACAATTCATCTGAGAATGCACTGCTACTGATGCGGCTTCTAATTAACATCAGTTAGGGTAGTAACAGCACATTTTCACTAGACTAGAAACCCTACATAGCTCTTAGTAAGTTCAGCCATTAGCCTGAAAATAAGGCTGTTTTACATGAAAAGATACAAACTGAGAACACAATCAGCAGCAGTGTAAAACACCACAATTACATTTACCCACAGTGCTACAATAGGATGTAGATATTTAGCCCTCCCAGTGGGCCAGTGCAAAATTCAAGACCAGGAACGGAAGTTGCAGATACTGAAGCCAAGTAGCTTGGTCAGAGTCCAGTATTATTCAAGTTAATTTATAGGCTATTTGAGCTCAGAACGTTTTTGCCAAAAAAAGTAATCAAGTTTACATAATTAAACCATTCTGTAAAATTAGAAAATGACAGAATTACAGGTAAACCTAGCAGACGTCTGTAGTATGATACAACAGTGTTTTCCCATTTTCTTACCTTACATGACTTGCACAAACATTTTAAAGAGTTTCTCCAAATAACATCATTGGGTGTCCTACCACAGTATGTACAGTATGTGATGTAAATGTTTTGCTTTATAGTTTGAAAGGATTTCAGTTTTCTACCTTAATCTCCACAGTTCTGAGAATGTCAGAAAAATGTCAAAACCACACACATCTAGTCAGAAAATTTGGTGGTTGCCACCATGCTGTAGCTCTGAAGATGAGCTCCAGCAGAGACAGGTTAGCAGAGAAATAAAACCACCAAGGTTCACACAGCTGACAAGATGAGAGCTTTCATTAGCATATCCTCCCAGGTTTTTAACACCTTCAAAAGACACACGGTACACAAAAGGTGAGCTTTGAATCGGTAAATGGTGGCCAATGCCAAGAGAAGCTTTAAAAGCAAAGAACAGAATTTCTCTTTTTTGCATCTTCTCACCGAGAGTAGCTTAGAGAGCCTGAATCCTAATGCAGCTACATTTACAATAGATCTCATCTGCAGAGAATCTGCACAAAGCGGAAATTGGCATCTAATAAAAAAATAGTGACTTTAGCTGTGCATTATATACATTACTGTAGGTTTTACAATCCAGATTAAGCATTGCATATTTGTTTTGAAAGATTTTCCTTGGCCTGCAAAAAAACACTTTGAATTATCAGTATTTATTTGTAAAAATCATTGGTTATGAAGAAGTAAACACAACCAAACCTGGTTGCATATATTGCCTTATTTTTATCAGAATAATGATAGCTTGTGCAAAAGGAACTTTAAGGCTTTTATCTTTAAATTGGATCCTAATAATATGGATTTCTTTCCTTTTATTAGTCATTCTGACTCTGGAGGCAGTCTGAGCTCTCAGTGGAATGTTTAATGACCTGATGCTTAGTTTCACTGTTAAAATCGAGGTAAAGTAAGGAAGGCTGCCATTCAGAATGAAATGTTTGTTTGGGTGATTTGGCTCAGTTTGAAATCTCATGCCAAATGTTAAGGTGAAATGGAGTAAGACATTTTCTTTTGCATAGCCTTTATGAGGGTCAAGAGCGTCAATGAAGATGATCAACTGTACCAATGTAAATTTGGATTGTCTACAATTTCATATAAAAAATATTAAATGTCAGCACTCTGAATTATCAGCAAGTCTCTCCTCTACCAGATTTTAGTGGTTGGGAAGAAAATGTCACAGCACAAGTTTTGATAGTAATGTCCATGTGCAATCATCTAGGACTCTATTTTACCTTAGAAAACTCCAGCTTCTGTAAGTAGTGTACCAGCCTCAAGTAGCAAACCCTTCATGTAGGCATTAAAAGTGTAGTACATTGTGAGGAAGTCCTGGGTGCTGAAAAAAGTGTCTGCTAAAGCAAAGCCCAGCGTGGAAGGGATGAATCCTCTGCCATACTCCACCATCCAAGTCCCGGCACTCCACTGGACTGACGTAGCCTCTCCTACAGCATGCACAATAGTGTCACCTGTGGGTAAAGAATATGAAAGAACAGGAATTTTTTTATTTTATTTTTTACTACTACTACTACTACTACTGCCACCCAATAATACTACAGGAGTTTAGCTAATAACATACTGTGCTGTGAA